TGGTTATGGGCAGTGGCGGTGGTGGTGGTGGCTATGGGCAGTGGTGGTGGTGGCTATGGGGAGCGGTGGTGGTGGTGGCTATGGGGAGCGGTGGTGGTGGTGGTGGCAATGGGGAGTGGTGGTGGTGGTGGCTTTGGGGAGCGGTGGTGGTGGTGGCTATGGGGAGAAGTGGTGGTGGTGGTGGCTATGGGGAGCGGTGGTGGTGGCTTTGCGGGAGCTTTAAGCAATTATCTTATTATTCAGAAGCGACCTCTCCACAAATGATAGCTCAACAAAGTGTTCTATCACGTGGAAATGTATGACCCGGCCACCCAAGTTCGATTCCCGCTCACGGCCACCACCCACCGGTGACGATTATCTGAACCGCTCCCAGGCCGACTCGGCCTCAAATGAGTACCTGATGCGCTGTGTAAACATCGCCACTGGGGAGACAAAGGCGGCCGCGCCGTCATGCTGGCCACCCCACTTGGCGGTCCGTGATACAGAACCGTGGAAGCGGCAGCGAGGGTCGGCGGATCACGCAGCCCGGCTGTGACACTCCCCTTCCCACTGGCCTCCGTACCCTCGCTCGCCAGCAGACGGCGGTGCAGCACGTGGAGTAATCGCCACCTGTTTCCAGCTGCGTGGGGGATAGAGCGTTGCCCCCTCGCGCGCGTGAGTCATCCCACGTGCATAATAAACGCCGCTTGATTGGCCGAAAACAGCGCCGACGACTCGGTGTCGTTCTGCTGGATAAATAACTGTCGGGTAAATCAGTTAGGAGAAAAAAAACACTCGACACATTTGTAAATGACGATGTTGTAGGCGATGCGTCGGGCAGCGACTCTTCTTCGTTGTTAATGACGGGCTATGCTAATTATCAGATGCGTGTACACAGTCCTTTTGCCAATCTACTGCTGGATGAGGGCCTCAAGATTCATGGCGGGGGGAGGGGGGGGGTATTTGACCATTCCTCACCGCCACAACTGGTCAATGCGGTCTGGTACAGCCGTTCTCATCTGCGGTGATATCAATATTGCTGTTAGCGGCAACTGGTGGAACTGAAGCAGTGTAAATTGGTTTTTTACCCTTTTATCTGGCAACAAAACTGACACCTTTTTTACGAGGAATCATGTTTGCATAGACCAAAATACCTGCAGTCATAATGCAAACAAAAAACATAACTCTGATAATGTATGCACTGTCCTTGAAGTTGATTGGCCCACACCCGAGACAGCTTTCCTTAGAGCCTAGTCTCACATGGTGTTGGACCAGATTACGCCAAAAGGCGCACAACTCAAAGACAATGCACCATCAGAGTATGAGAGCTCGGGGTAAGCATTTACACCATTGGAACCTCCTTTTTTACCGTTTTATCTGGTAACAAAATTGAAAGAACAAAAAGGTGTCAGTTTATTTTTTACTGGCAAATGAGGTACCAATGATGTAAAGCAGTGTTCTTTACTCATTTTCAAATGGTGGGGTGGGGGGGGAGTCACTTTCGTCGATAGACACCATCAGTGTGATGGCCGCAACACACACCGCCTGCAACAAAGGGGAAGGGGGGGGGGTCACATTTGTGTGTTGTCGGGGAGGGGCACGTCAGGGGCAGCACATAAATGCCAGTGGCTTCACGGGCCTTGCACTGAACTAACACGAACGTTTTGGTTTTAGCCATATTTGTTTGTTGTAGTACAGACTGATGACTTTAATGTAAAATGTCTCATGGTTGTTATTGTTTGACTTGCATCCCACCTAGATTTTTGCACACGGCGTTGATCTACGGTGCTTTTTCTGGAAGACTTTGCTGTTTTTTTCCCGGATGTTTCTCTTGCGCGTCGTCACTTTAAGATGTTCCTTGTTCATGTTTTTGTTTGTTGCGATTGCACCCGCGTCAAGAGCCGCATGGCTCACAGGGCTACATCTAATACATGAAACTGAAATGAAACTGAACTCTAAAGTGGGGCGAAAACAAACGTCTCCCCTGCTTCATGTTCTTGGTTCTTTCGGTAAAGTCACGTAGAATGGAAATAATAAAATAATAAAAATAAAATTTTACATAAAATAATTCTCACGACGTTTCGGCCACAATGCAAGCAGCCGTCCTCAGGTGAAGAACAGGTCTGTCGACAAGACAGAGTCTGAATGACACAACCCAAGCCAGGCTTGGGTTGTGTCATTCAGATTCAGGCTTGGGTTGTGTCATTCAGACGCTATCTTTCCGATAGACCTGTTCTTCACCTGAGGACGGCTGCTTGCGTTGTGGCCAAAACGTCGTGAGAATAATTTTATTACGTTTTATTTAATTTATATTATTTTATTATTTCCATTCTACGTGACTTTACCAAAAGAACCAAGAAGATGAATCCCTGCAGTCACGAAAGCTTTAAATCGAAAACGTCTCCTCTGGCTGTCTACCGCAGGACCTGTGCCCGGGCACGTCGAACCAGGCGGAGGCGAGAACGCACCTGCTGATCGTGACGCTCGTGCACCTGGCGCAGGGCGCCACCCTCCTGGCGAGTGGCCTCCGCAAGCCCGACATCCAGGCGCTCTTCCAGAGGGCCTTTCGCAAGCGAGTGGCCCCGCACCCCAAGGCACAGATTTAGCACAGTCCTGTATCGGGCTGCAGCTGCACACGGATGCTGCACTGGGTAATACTATTGACTTTTTATTTCACCAGGTAAAAAACCACCGAGCTGTTAGCTTGAACCACCTCTACTGGATATCTGTGGCTCATCGGATTCCTCCAGTGTGAAATAATAAAGATTCTGATTCGGAGTCACGGTGGTGCTGGGAAGCCGAGACCACAGGCGTCGCAATTAGAGGGCCCCAAATATGAAACAAAACAAAAAACCATTAATTTAATTTGACCAGGTATGGCCCAACTGAGCTCTACGGCTCTTTTTCAGAAGCAAGCTGGCTATCACAGATGATAGCTCAACGAAGTGGCTTATCACGTGTAAATGTATTGCAGCCAAATACTCCCAGCGCATGTTTTCTAAATCATCGTTATCATCGCCATTCGCCACGGTCAGTAACACTGATCGGATGAAGGCCTCCTCAAAGCTGCTCACGATCCGGCGAGATACAAATCCACCTGCACGCGCGCTGAATTCACCGTCTCGTCCTCTCTCTCTCGGACGCGTTCCGTTCATTTGTTGTTATTGCTCCTAAACCATCGGCCAGCGTCCATGACATATACTGCCCAACGCCCGCTTACATTTCTGAACGGTTTGAATGATGCCGTTGGCCTGTGCACGTTCTCCAATTCAAATGTTTCTCGTTGTCTCCCAATTGCAGAATCAGAATCTCTATTTATACTGGAGGAATCCAAGAGCCAAAATTGTATTTTTTCACAGATGTCCAGTAGTTTTACAGATGTACAGCCGTGCAATTCCAAGCATGCCTCTCCCCATGCTTCTTTGCGCCTATTTCAGTTCTTTAACTGAAGGAGTCGAATGATTCACCGTCCCCCTCCCAAACTATTCGATAAAATTCTCACCAATCTTGGTGACAATTTTATTCAATCTACGTTTGTAGTTTCGTTTCGCTCCATTCGACCTAAATGTAATCCACAAATGAACATTCGTTTGCGTAATTTTATTTCAACAAACTAATTGTCGTAAGGAATAGGTCACGCATTCTCACACCAACAACGCACAATGCATTTATCACGAGTGTAAGAATCGATTGTTAAATCAACAAGTTGATGCATGGGTCTCGGTAGTTTTTCTTTCTACCGTTTCCATGTCACCATCGCTCTCACGTCGTCCTCACCGTGAGAACGGCGAGCGTGACCCCCATCTCGGTGGCGAGATGTTAACTACCTCGCCCGCTATACAGGAGATCGTGGATTTTATCCCAACCCTGCCGCCTTTATATTTTCTAGTTGGCATGGCTTATCCACACGATAAGCCACTTCGTTGATGTATGATGAATTTCTTTCGCACCGTACGTAGCCAACTGTGCTAATCGAAGGTGCGGGAAATATATTTGCGGTTTGCATGTTCTCCCCATGGTCTCGTAGATTTTGCTTCGGTTCCCTCGGGTTTCCCCTCCATATTTAGAAACATGCGTTTCGAGTATTTGGCTGCAATACATTTCCACGTGATAAACCGCTTCGTTGAGATATCATTTGTGATAGGCCAGGTCGCATCTGAAACAGAGCCATGTAAATTTCGATTTAAAGCTTTCGTGACTGCAGGGATTCATCTTCTTGGTTCTTTCGGTAAAGTCACGTAGAATGGAAATAATAAAAATAAAACATAATAAAATCATTCTCACGACGTTTCGGCCACAACGCAAGCAGCCGTCCTCAGGTGAAGAACAGGTCTGTCAGAAAGACAGCGTGTGAATGAACACCACTAGGCTTGGCAGCGTATATTTAAGCTGGGTTGGAGGGGGAAGAGCGCCTTGACAAAGGAATTTGCATATCAAGAGGGATTTAGCATATTTATGGGAAATGCAGGTATGTGATTAGTACTACTTATGCCCGTGCATTATGCAGGATTATGCAAGACAGAGCCATGTAGTTCAGCGGGCCTGACCTGGTGAAATAAAAAGTTGTATCTTTTTTTTTTCCTTTAGAATTTTAACACCCATCTGCTTTGGGAATGGTCAACCCTGGGGCATGAATACGGCTACCCCGCGTGGCAACGCCGACTTGAAAAACAAAGAAAAGGGCCCCAGAATGATGTAACCCCCCCCCCCACCCCCGTAGCGAAGCACGGCATCACTACTACAGCAACATACTCGTTTGGAAATATGACCCTCGGAAAATGCAGCTGCTGATATGCTAACTTGCCTACTTATATAAATGCTTTTACTGATGTAAGTTACGTCAATATTTAAACCCATAAGTTCACTGCTAGAACAGAACACCGTATACACGTTTGTCAAACTACTAATACCTAAACAAACCTCACCTGGGGCATAAACAAGGCAGACCGGATCATTATCTTTGCTCAGCTGTGTAGACGCTCATTCGGGCACCTTTTTCGATTAAGAGAGGGGGGAGCAGGTCAAGTTAAATATCAATTTTATTTCAAAATAACACATTTTTCTTTAACTTATTCATTTCTCACACATGTCAACACAAAACAGTGTCAAGCCATCTGTTAGAATCATTCACCGAATCTGAACTGGATTTACGTGGCCGAGAGCGTTTTAGAGATCTGCAGAAGTGATGCATTAAACTTCAATCAAGGAAGCATTAACATGCTTTGGATGCACTCCAATTTGCTTAAACATAGATTCGAAAATAGCATGAAATGGTGCTGTTTTTCGATTCCATAATTTATTGGTCAATGTTATCCCGCGTTCATCTCAATTCAGTGCGTAACGCACATTTCTACAAAGCCCTATATTCGTTCTGCCACATTTGAACTCAATTCAACTTATTATCAAATCTTGAGCAATCCACAAAGTTAACTTGTATAACCAATCGGCTCTGACCCAAAGAGAAAATCAATTGCGTATTAGAGTTGACATTCATTCACAAGTTTTAAAAGATAATTTAAACAAATAGCGGTAAATTCAACGTGAAAATTAAATTAGTGCCGCCTCTACATCTCGCTGGGGTAAAGGATATGTTTTAAGGTTTATCAAAGGAGTGCTTCGGTCAAAATATCTACGTTTATAAATCAACCTAAAATTCACAACTAAAACAGAACTTTCATCATAAATACTGAATTTGTACTTAATACAACTTTAAACAGAAAGCTGCGGCACTTCAAGTTCAAAGAAAGAAAAATCCACTTAAGTTGTTTAAGAAAAACATACTTGTGTTAAACAATTAAATTCCATTGCTAGTGTGTAAACGTTATACACAATCAAAAAACAACCCAAGTTCTCTCTCTCTCCCAGCTGACAATTTAAGCCAGTGAAAGCATTCTTCAGGGGATTGTTTAAGGTAATTTCTTCCTTAAATCAAATTAAGACGTGTTTGCATCAATACTAGAAACATCTAATTGGGTGTTATAACGTGTTTTTATAGTACAGGATAAAACAATACACATGCTCTAAGCCCTTACTTATTTACTGTCTTGGGTCACTTACAATGACTGTACGCAGGGCCCACAGAATGTGCCCACTGCTTCCTGAAAGTTAAGGAGACTGAAATGGCCTTTGTTGCAAGGTTCTCACTGGGGGGTGGGAGAGTAGGAGGTCTTGCACACACGCACACACACAGCGCTTCCAATGGGAAGAGACTCATCGATTTCCGGCAGCCAGTTCTTGGAATAACACAATTCTCCCAGAACAGCAACTCAAAGTAAAACAAGGATTATTGGGAGTAACGCACTTTTTCCTGTACAGATTAGGCAGATTTTTTTTGCTTGATGTAAAAAAAAACAATGACTTCAATGACATTAAAATAGCAAAGAAATTAAATACACATTCTCACGTTGCCTCTGTTCCCTAACGAGCATTGCTTAGGCCTTTCGCTGCAGCCAACGGGTCCCACTTGCCACCCAACTCGCCCAGCCACATTCAAATGTTACAATGAAGCCATCACAAACAATGCAAATCAACAGCTCAAAATGTTAACGCCGCAAGGTCAGTGTACGAAATAAAGAGAGCCCCCCCACCTCGGGGATCGATTCGCCGATCGACAAAAAAATCGAAATCGACTCCCATTTCTTGTTGTGGTTAAACTTCGCGGGACCTCTTTAAAAATAGAGGCCCACCCCCCCCCCCAAAAGCCACGTCCAGCGTGACGCGGACGATGATGCGGATGACATCGCCAAGCCCTGCCCCATCACCTCCCGTCCAGCGGCACACGTGGAAACAGAAGCAATTTTTTTTTTACTATGTTTGTTGTTGTTAGTTGAGCAATCGAACAGCATAATCATGAGAGTAATGGTTTTCCTAAATAATCACGTAGCTCAACTCTCCCGCAAAGTGTAGCGTGTGTGTGTATATGTACATTATACATGAAGAAATGTATATAAACAATACATAGTATCAACACACACATACACATACATGTATCGAAACAACTATATACATGTATGCATGTCAATAATATGTATACAGTATATGCATATATACACATTGAGTATATATCCTGCAAAAAGATTTTTCGTAAAGTGGAAATCGCAAGTATCCAGATACTTTGCTCGGGCCATTCTCCACGCACTTACATAATTTATGCATTTCATTTCATATATTTACATATGATCAGTGACTTGGGAAAAACCAGCTCAAGTCAACAAACGGGCCCAGCGATCGGACACTGCCATTGCCCAATCATCCACGCACGAGCCAAGCACCGCAACCTGACCTCACCATTCTCTAGGCGTTCCCCATTTATTTTTGTTAAAGACGAAATGTCATTGCCGATTATTTTGCCATTAACGTCAAGGCCCCCCCCCTTCCACCCACCTTAGGACGGCCTGCAAGTGGCGTGCGCTGTGAACGAGCTGTCACCGTCACCAAAAAATAATCCGCGGAAGCTCCAGATTCGTTCAGTGCCGGAGTAAATCAAATTGCGTTTCAATACAAACGTAACAAGGAACTTCCGCAGATTTCTATCACCGCCATGGAAATACGCAGGGTCAACCTCCCCCATAGGCGTCTCGAGTAGTGCTCTGGGACTACCGGTGGAGCATGTGGAGCATGACATTAGTGGTCCAGATACTCCACAGCACAACTCAAAATAGACACTCTGTAAGGTCACTATGCAGATTTCCTGCTGCCCAATATAATGGAGCACACACACACATACACACACATTGTACACGTCTCTCCATTTCCAGTCGTTAAGAGACCAATACAATAAGGAAAACATATCCTTCATCACCTTCAAGTCATTTTGGTAATTACAATAAATATTTTGGAGGGGCACATTGTTGGCAGAGCTTACCATCTACGGTTCGTGTAAATGTTTACGTTAGTTCTTGAATTACCTTCTAAAGTGACCACACAATGGCGCACGTAACGCGGTCGTACAACAGCAACTCAAAACGTATTTAAATAGTGCTTAGGCAACAGTAGATGTTGCTAAAAAAAACATTCAACGTTTAAGGGCTACAGTACTTCCAGATGTTTCCAAAGCACGCGGATATCTCAACAAAGTTACCCAACCTTGAAGGTGCTCTCAAATAACCAAATATTAAAGAGTTTTCTCAGTGGACGGTCACCAGTTGCAAGCTGTAATGGGGACACCAAATACAAAGATCCCCCGTATAAGCCTTGTATAGTGAACTTCTTTAGCACCGTACGTAGCCAACCGTGCTAAGCAGGTGCCTTAACAGACTGTTGGGACAGGTGCCGTGAGCGATATGAAGGCAGGCGCGGTACAACACCACGCAACGCCCGACCACCTTTGTCTCCCCAGTGGCAATGTTTTTTTTACACACGCAGCAGGTACTCATTTGAGGCTGAGTCGACTTAGTGGAAGCCCAGGACTGCTTCAGACGATCGTCACTGGTGTTGGCCATGAGACGTTTAGAAACGTGCGTCTTTGGTTGGTGCGAAACATTTACACGTGGAAAGTCACTTCCGTTGAGCTATCGTTTGTGGCCAGCTTGATTCGGATAATTAAGCTAATCGCTCAGTGGCCCTTACCTGGTACATTTTGAAATAGCTTGTAGTCTGGGGACCCCTAATAGACTGGGACATCCATATTAAGCCAATATTCTCAGAGTAAACATGACTTACACAAACTCGTGCGTTGCTGTGGAAGCATTATGGGTCAAATCATAAACCGGTTCAGAGTTTACTTGCTTCAACAGAACGCTGCCGCTTGAAAAAGATTTGCCTGGAAAACCAAATAGACCGATGGAGTAACAGATATATTAATATCTGGAGACGTTATATCTGCGCTGAAACGTAACTTTAGTCAGAATGCACAACCACCAGAGTTTTCCAAATAGTCCAGAATCGTTTCTCTCTCTCTGAAGGGGAGCAGCGATTTGCCCGGTGTAAGTTTAATTGTAGTGGTAAGTTGCGGTGATCGGGCGAGTGTTATAGCATCGAGAATAGAAGGTAGAATTTGGAACAAGGTTTACGTTAGGAGTACAATGGATCTTAGTTTGGTGCACTTATTGTTCAGGGTATGTGCAAAGAAGCGTGGAAAATTGCAATCTTGGAGTAAGATTAACAGACGGCTGGAATAGCAACATGTGGAGTGGAGAACGCATCAACAGCTTAATGACACATTTCAAACTGTTCAGCAATTGGGCTTGGGCAGGACACTTCATGGCAGCTATACGCGATGATGATGGGCGATGGCACTGGTCAACAAAAAAAAAACTTCTGGCCTGGACTTTTGCAGGGTGCGGATTCCAAATCTGATCTCAGATTTGCTCTATCACATCTCATTTTTATGCTATCGGCATACCCCATTTTAATTGATTTTACCCGAAATTAACTCTGTCACTTATGATTGCAAATTGTTGCGAGTCAGTGACTGCTTTAGTGTTAAAATATGGTGCTGTATTTTTAGGATAGTGTGTTTATAATATCATTTTATGTAGATATCCACATTTATTTAATATTTTTCTTCTGCAGTTTTTATTGAAAATGCGATAGTTGACATCTCAAAAACCTGATGTGATAGACAAAAACTTATGCCAGATTTGGAATCAGCACCCCAAAATTACCTTAAAACCGTTGGAATACCTTATGCCAGAAAAAGTGTGTTGACCAGTGTGGTTGAGAACAATGGAAGTTGGCAACCGATGAATGTTATGCATCCCAGAGGACGGGCACTGAGGAGATGGAGCGATAAAGTCAGTTCGTGCGCAGGCGCTCGGCAAATTGTTGCATCGCTGGAACGCGCGCGAGGTGGCGGTGGTTTTGGGAGGCCTCCATCCAGCAGTGGATTGAACATGGCTGATTATGATGAACTCAGTTCAAATTGTGATGACGCGGGGGGGGGGGGGGGGTCATGAGTCCATTCAATAATTGAGTTATTATGTACCGTTTGTAAACTCCATAATTTGCATAAATCATAATCGATTGTTACAGGCACGGCTAGAAGAATGTATCGTTAGCATAATTAGTTTAAATCCGTGAATTGTTAAGATGCCTCCTGAACAGAATCCAAGTCTGCATTGTTACGAATGGAACGCGGCCAGAAAAAAACCCCCCACAGAAACTGCGCATTTTGCAAATGCTCTCAAAACGTGGGCAGCAGACGTGGGCAATAACGCTGAATGAATGTACCTCGTTCAGCACCGTCACTCAATCCGGGACGAGTGTACACAGCAAGCAGCGGCGATCATCGCCCTCCACTTCCAAGACTCGTGCCCCGAGTCGATCTTGCAAACGGGGACTCTATCCTGACCTCTCGGACTTCTCGCTCGGTTCAAACAAAATCTAATTTTCGAGACGTGCACGGAGCGCTCTCGTTACAGCAACACACGTGGGTTTAGAAATGAATGACGCAAACGGGAAGACAAAGAAAGACGGACAACTCTGCATCCCTTCACCAAATGCCACGCACGCAAAGACGCACAGACGCACGCGCAACAACAGCCACCTTCACTCACCGAGTAGTCCGCCGACGGGTAAGCCTCGTCGCAGAGCCGGCCCAGCCACTAAGCGACCCTTGCAATTGCAAAGGGCCCCGTGGCCAGCAGAGGGCCCCCTAGAGTCACTGCTAGCTAGTGGGTGAAAAAAATCATACATCAAAGGGGCCTCCAACCAAATTTTGCTTAGGGCCCCTAAAGGTCTCGGGCCGGTTCTGCCTCGTCGCTTACTTACGCTATGCACACCTTACCTTGCTTTGCATGTCCTTAAGTATCTGCTATCCATGGGCAGATTATCCATGTGGCGGATGAACTGCGCTATTTTGCACCCTTTATTATCGTGCACGCTGGTTTCGTTATTGACTCGTAACTCGTTAAGGGGTCGGTGACGCCAGTGAGCACGTGACAAAACAAGTAAACCGATTGCTTCGATAAACAATAAAATAAATGATGTAAATAATGCGTGTTTAAAGTGTTAATCCAGGTAAAAAAAATCCTCTGGCCCCATTACTCCGGGTAATCAAGAGTCGAGAGTGTTTATCATCTTGCATTTAAACGTTACGTGCGGTTGAGTTGAAGTGTGATTAACGGGCTGAGGGATCGCAATCATTGTATTTCTAGCCCTCTTTTCCTTTGGGGATAACACAGCGCAGATGTCGACATCGAGATAATCTTCTCTGCCTCGGAGTGAAATACAAAGTATGGATCTGGGTGGCGATCAAGCCAGACTTAACGCGAACACGTGCACAACGCAGCAGGGCTCCGATGGACCTTGACGGGAGAGGCCGAGATAATGACAGCGCACCCCACGCCTCCCTGGTCAGTGCGATCGACTGGTTGCAATGGAAACCCGACGAGGAATTTCTCCGCCCCTGCCTGGCTGAACGATTGCGAAGCAAGTGGCGTCGACGATGAAGAATCGAACGATGAGCAAACGAATGACAGCCAACGTTGGTGGCAGAGCCGCGGTTTGTTTCGCAGCCGCTTCTCGCCAGTGCCTGTGGGTTTGTGTCGCGTGAGACCACACAAGCCGTGAGATTTATGGTGAATCCTATTGTTTGGGTCTTTCGGTAAAGTCACGTAGATAGGTGGACTTTGCCGAAAGACCCAACGAATAGGAATTCCTGCAGTCACGGAAGCTTTAAGTCGAGATTTATGGTGAATCCTCATTAGCACCCATCACCCCGTTAGTATGACCACGTGGATGCCGCCCCTGGCAATGGGAATCCGCCAGGGCCGACTCCCAATTCTGCCCAGTATTGGCATCTCGGGGCGCACGGCTTGTGCGATGGTACTCGATGACTGAATTAAATGGACGACTACCGTGCATTGCCTGCCAGGTGACGTGTGGGCATGAGGATGTGAGGTTTGGCCAGGAGATGGCAAAATGTTGAGTGATGCCCCTGATCTGTGTGGGTTTTCCACAGGTACTCCAGTTTCCTCCCACGTGCCCAAACACTCATTAATGGTATTGGCCAAATATGCCCAAAGTAGGGCCCTCCTGAAAACCTGAGTCTCGTGGGTCAATAATAGCAATGATGACACTGGTCAAAAAAAAAATATTTCTTTCTGACCTGGACTTTTGCAGCTGTTCTAGACTAATTTCAGGGTGCTGATTCCAAATCTGATCTCAGATTTGCTCTATCACATCTAATTTTTATACTATCGGCATACCAGATTTTCATTGATTCTACCCGAAATTAACTCTGTCACTTATGATTGCAAGTTGTTGCGAGTCAGTGACTGCTTTAGTGTTAAAATATGGTGCTGTATTTTTAGGATAGTGTGTTTATAATATCATTTTATGTAGATATCCACAATTATTTATTATTTTTCTTCTGCAGTTTTTATTGAAAATGCAATATTTTATATCTCAAAAACCTGATGTGATAGACAACAACTGATGCCAGATTTGCAATAAGCACCCGAAAATGACCTTAATACCGTTGGAATACCGTTTTCCAGAAAAAGTTTGTTGACCAGTGTGATTGTTGTAGAAGCCATGTGAATTAAAGTTGACTTTTGGTTGGGCTTCTGCAGCCGTCTGCTACTCTCTTCCTTTCCATATCAGAAAGCCACTGACGCTATTCGCTTTTAAATCAAGATTGAAAACTAATGTATTTAGAACTGCTTTGTGTGTTGAGTTTATCCTCCTTCCCCCCCCCGCACACCTCCGATTATCACAGTTGACTACGTACGGTGCAAAAGAAGTTCAACGTACATACGTTAAGTAGGCGGGGGGGAGGGGGGTGATAGCGTCTCAGGGACACCGCGTGCTTGCCCATCACCGCCACAACCGCTGCGTTTGCGTCGTCACCCCCTCCACCGATGACACTGTCCGGGAGCGCGCTTTGACCAGCACTGTCCCCGCGTTCAAACGGCGCTTCCAGAAAGTCCCAAAGAAATACAACTGTGTTAATTTCCCTATTGTGGACGGGAGTTTATTCGCTTTTCATCGATCGCCCTTTACAGCTGTCCAAATCCATGCGACGTGAAGATTTTGTTTACGAGTTCCACAGATGTGAGGCAGGTTTGTGTGTGAGCCTACGATCTACGCTACGGGGCTACGCATCCTTTCCTTATCTTTAGCTCCACTCGTTAATGGTTTCACAGGAAACATTCGACGTGAAAGGTGTTGAAGACACCTTTCACAAATCTATGACGTCGCAATCAATATGATATTGATAATAAGTACGCCCCTATTTAATGTTATTTGTTTTCCATGAACCTTCCCATGATCGACAAAAGTGTCTGTGCTCCTTGCTAAGGAACCATTCTCAAAGAAAGAGAGTCTGGAAAATAGGGAAATGAAAACGGACAGATTTGGGCTTTAAAAAAAGAAACCCCTTAAAAATATACCGTTTGTCAAACAACTATACAACAGGTTCACTCGTGTTTAAAAAGAAAGAAAAAATGTCCTTGCTTTTGTTTATACATTCAAGTTTCCCACCTCTCCTCCGGTTACCACCGCGTGTTTCCTGGCCGAATGGATACAAAGAGACGCCCTGGTGGGAGGCAGCGATCTTCAACAACTTCCAATCGGCCGCTTCCCTCATTTCCAAACTTGGATTACAGTAAAATGTAAATTGCACATGTTCCATGTTTTCTTCACAGGAAGAGCAGTTTGTGGTTTTTTTCTTCATTTTTTCCTTTCGCATGTTTTTCAATATTTTTCTTGTTAGTAAATTTCAGGCGCCTTCAGGAACCTTCGTCCCCCCCCCGCCACGGAGTGGAAGAGTCCGGAGAGTGAACGCCTCGGTGCAGCCTCGCCAGAGACTCGCGAAGCTGCGAACAAAACCAGGGAGGAAGAAAAATAAAAATGTTGCTTTATGCACAGACTCCGGAACGTGCTCCGACACCCGCTCATACTCGGAAGTCATGTGACCCTTTCCCTTTCCGAGACGTCTGCAAGTTGCAGGGTGGGGGTTTCCCGTTCGCCGTTGAATCTGAGAATGCGCAAGCGGTTCGGAATACATTTATTGAGAGAGTCGTAGCATTGCTGTTTTTAAAGACATTGTATTGTATTCGGAGAACTGTAGCGACACGACTGTGGGAGCCTCGGTACCCATAAAGTTGTTTCTTTTCTCTTTTCTTCCGGTTTCGTTTTGATTACATCATCGGAACGGAATCGGAAGAAAAACTGACAAAGTACACAAACGTCATCGGAATCGGAAAGGGTTAATCAGCCATGATGACGTTACCTTCCCTGCCGCACAACGAGATGATGTTGCACGCCCGTGACGTCACGAGGCAAGGCGTGCGTGACATTTGAAGTCATCGCTTTGGACGAACAGGTTTTCCTTTTCGCACAGTTTTTTGTTAATCATCAAGAATTGGGCAACCCTTGGGTCAAGCTGGCTGGTCTTCTGCAGGGTTCGTAATAGCAATACAACTTTATACTTAGCTTTGAATCGTATTGAATCATCTTTACAGGATTTAGCGTGACCCCACGTTAAATAGAGACAGAGGAACAGGGCGAATGCATGAACGCTTTCAACCTTAGTTGTAAAGCGTCACAAAGGGACTACGTGTGGTGCGACGTAGCTCAAAAAGCAGGACAAGTAAATGTTTGTAAAGGGACGATACAACCTGGGCAAATGAGAATCGATGCTTGACCTCGTATGAAGGCCACCGAATCGTGGGCAGACACAACGATCGGCTGCAAGCCTATTAAACACGTAGCGGTCACCCAATACGCAGCACGACAAAAGCGTGTCCCGTTCAGCGTGCATACAAAGCTGCTGCTGCTGCCGGTGCTGCCGGTGGTGCCGCTGTCTCTCAGCGGCGCCCTCACCTGGTCGATGTGCGACAGCGTGAGCTTGAGAGCCTCCCTCCACTTGCCGAGCTGCGCCTCGTGAGCTCGCTGCTGCTGCTCGATGACTCGCGCCCACTCGCGCTCCGACTGCGGCACGTGCGCCCTGCGCGCAACCGGCCCGCACCGGTCAGCTGAGCCGTCGCCGCATTTCCGACCAGAGTTTTTTTTGTTATATTTCCCAAATTGAGCAAGCGCCGTTCATTTGACAAAATTGCCAGCGATGTGTGACCGCTAAATTTCGATTTAAAGCTTTCGTGACTGCAGGGATTCATCTTTTTGGTTCTTTCGGTAAAGTCACGTAGAGTGGAAATAATAAAATAATAAACATAAAACATAATAAAATAATTCTCACGACGTTTCGGCCACAACGCAAGCAGCCGTCCTCAGGTGAAGAACAGGTCTGTCGAGAAGACAGAGTCTGAATGTCAGTGACATTCAGACTCTGCTTGCGTTGTGGCCGAAACGCCGTGAGAATTATTTTATTATGTTTTATTTTTATTATTTTATTATTTCCATTCTACGTGACTTTACCGAAAGAACCAAGAAGATGATGTGTGCCCGTGTGGTGCCACGGCCTCATAGCAACTCTGCAAGCGCCGCGACCTCCCCCTGGCCCCCACACTGAGCACACACACGCAGTGTCCTGGCAGGGGATCGCCTGGCACGACGGGTTTTAATCCGAAGGGTCCCTCGGAGGAAAGTCCCACGATTGGCCAATCCTCGCAGGACAGGTCACACTGCGGTGCCCCTGAGTTGGATTAAAATTGTACGGGTGCAAAAAGGTTCACCGGGCCAGCAGCAATGAGTCATTCACGACATCGGGAGGGGCTGGGGTGGAATATTAAGCAAGAAGAGCAGACCATGAGGTCAGGGGATCGCAGTGCCACAACCCCCCCCGTGACCCCCATACCGAATACACACTCGCAGGGTGTGTATATGCCAGCCGGGCGTCCTTCCAGATTAACGAGGGTGAGTCACAAATTAATGAGGACGGACGGACAGACAATGGGTCGCAGAAGCACCCGCCGCAGCGCTCGATGCAAGGAAAAAAAACGATAATCACAGGTAGGCGCACGATTGTCCGCGTGCTGTACAACGTGACCCCGGGCTTTTAAAGTCAGGGGGATAACAAGAGGAGCCTGGGACCGTTCAAGGGGGCATCTTGTCTTCAACCTCTTGGCCGCCAGGACCCACTCCCTGCCGTCCTGCCTTCTCGAGCCGCTCGCAGCGTCTGTGCGACGCCAGCGAGTGCCGCCACGAGGCAGTGAACAAATATTTCTCTCGCCCTCCTCCCTCCGACTCTCACAGCGTCCGTGCGACGCCTTGAGTACAGCTGCGAGGTACGTGGTAGGGCGTCTGAGTATCTGGGGACTTGGGCAGCAGTAGGCTAGGCTCTTCTCGCAAAATATTCCCTCTGGGCAGTGCGGAGTTTGCGCCGACAATAAAAGTTAGTACAGAGCATAGGCGTGGCGTCCGTGATTCCTGTGTGGAGCGGCTGCGTGGGAGAACGCGCGGCGAGAGCGAACGCCGAGCCGGAGCGTGTGTGCGTGCGCGCGTTGAGGCAATCGCTCACAGATGTGAGCGCGAGCATGCCGCTGTGTGCGTCAGGGTCGCGATCGAACCAACAACCCTCCTGTATACCAGGCGAGCCAGTTAACATCTCGCCACCGTGGTGCCCTAATCAACAATTAAGTGGACAACAATTTTGAGGTGGTGTGGTTTACGAGGACAGACGGAGCAAGGGTGATGGATCCAAAGATGCCAATCTCGGGATTTGGGGTTGACACACGGTGGTGATGAAATAGTCTATGCATCCTGGGATCTTTCTTCCGCCTAATGACGATTGCTTGCGTTGCGATCGAAACGTCGTGATCTATTATTTTTTCTACCTACGTGACCTTACCGAAAGAACCAAAGAGTAAGCATCCTGGGATGTCGAATACAAGTTTGAAACTTTTAAATTACAGTCTGGTACTCGCCATAGCACTCCAGTGACTTCGCTGCATTGGTGTCGTATAAAATAAATAACCACAGTGACATAAACACAGGCCAGACCGTAATGCGACAGTAGAGTCTCAAATCTTGACTTAAAGCTTTCGTGACTGCAGGAATACATATTCCATGGGTCTTTCGGTAAAGCCACATAGATAGAAAATGTTTTAATAATAAAAATATCACGACGTTTCGATCGCAACACAAGCAATCGTCCGAAGGCTTGTGTTGCGATCGAAATGTCGTGATATTTTTATTATTTTTCTATCCACGTGGCCTTACTGAAAGACCCATAGAATAAGTATCGTCTCATTCACAAAACCTCAAACTTGGCCTGGGTATATATCTAAGAGACTTTTGGGGATGGATTTGCCTTTCAAATACTTATCTAATGCGTTCAGAACGCAGCCAGTAAGTGGGGATAAATAAATATCCATGTAATTTGGTCTCCCACATCTGACTGGAAAATCAGTTATGCGTTGCTCACCTAATGGACCCTACACATTGACCACCGGGTCAGTACGTACGGGCAGAAGGCGGCCCAACACGTCAATAACAAGTCCATCAATTATTCAATTAACCAACCATTCAATCAGCCAGTTATTCTTTAGGTGGGTCAATTAATTACTCATTCAATCAGTTACGTGAAATAGACATCAATGGGCAATTGAAGGGCAAACTGGAGTGAGAGGGTAGCAGGCAAGAGAGTGGATATACGTTTGAGATGGCTAAAAGGACGATGGAAAAGCTACATTATGGGTGGATGTAGGAGTGCAGTGAGGCTCTGCTGTATTTAATCGCATGGGTCGTTAGCCCAAGGGGGCCTTCATCCAGCAGTGGATTGACTCACTGGCGATGACGGATCGTGTTCGACAAGTCAACTTTTATACGTGCGGCGGCTGAAACACGTGGCCATTTAATTTTGGAACAACGTTTATGGACGTGTGTACTTTTCGTCGCCATGCTTATATAAGATGGTTAGATAACAGCAGGAGTCTATTTTTTTTTTCAAATTGGAAACTGGATATTTAATTTGTACACGAGTTTGGACATGGGAACGTACAATTAAATTAAAAGGTCACGGCGGAAAATATTACAGAACGGAAAGATAAACCACACTCAAATTAAAATGTGCAGCATTCATTTGTGCTGGACTTGGCGGAAGCTCAAAAGGGTTGAGAGCCTTTTAGTTTGACCTTTGATTCAGGAAAAAAAACAACCCCAGGTGTGAGGCCCACGTGTATTTTGTGCATGTGGCTGTATGCATTTGTGTTGTGCTGTCCTCAATTGCTTGTGGGGGGAGCGGTCGTGTACTGCTGGCCCAAAGGGAGCGGGAGTGCCGTGGCTAGCACACGGCGCGACAAACTCAGCGACCCGCGTTCCATTAGCGGTCACGTCCAATAACAGTGGAGAATATTTGAACCGGTCCTAGTCCTCCTGAGGTCGACTCAGCCTTAAAAGAGTAGCTGGTGGGGGGGTGTGTAAACATCAGCACTGGGGAGACACGGGCGCGGTGTCGTCCACCCACTCCCTCGGGTTCAGTGCCGGCCTTCACACGTGCTCGCTCACAGCACTCGCCCAAACAGTCTGTGGAGGCTATGCTGGGGGGGGGATGGTTGTCATTGTGTGGAGAGTGATTCGTGCACTGCTACAAACCCAGCAGCACCGAGTTCGAGTCCCGGCCACACCTAACATCGGCAGCTATTATCCGTTATCCGTCAGAGACCTCACATCGGCTTTTAATAACCGTTGAGTGAGCACTGCGAGGACATGCCACGGCTGGACGGGGATGTGTTTGGACCCTGCCCATGGTTCCCTGTCCTACTCAGCCCCGCCCACTCTTTCTTCCACACTCATGTAAACATGTAAACGTCTTCGTTATTTCTGTAAAGTGTCTTGAGATGAGATTGGATCGAAACTACCACACACATCCAGGTTGCTGTCCCATTCCAAAGACCAGACTGTGTTTTGCTATGGGTGACGGAGCTTTTTGCAGCCAGGCTCCCACGACTTGGGAATTCCCTTCCTCGGTCCCATTAGGTTAATCTGAATCCGTTACACTTTTAAAAATCGCGTCTTACAAGTCAACTGCTTTTACACAGGCGTTCCCCGTAACTTAAAACTTCATGCAAAGGGGCTTGAGGCCTTGTGCGAATTGCGCTATATTATTATATTATTATGAGTGCGTCGTTGGCTTTGGTTTCAATTCGCGAGATTTCTGCCGCATCAGGCGTGCGCGCTCATCGGCCGTCCGCGCCGTAATCTCGCGCCGCCGTGACAGAGCTCACGCGCGCTCGGGCTCACCTGCTACTCCTCCTGAGGCTCTGCAAGAGCTGGAGGTTTTGCGTGGTCGTCTCGAGGGCCCAGAGTTTGTAGAAGAGGACCCCGTTGAGGCACAGCAGCACCAGGAGGCTGCACGACATCAACACGCGCTCGTCAAGGTCTCAAGCGCGGACACGTCGGGGCTCTCAGGCGGGGCGCAACGCCACCGCCTCTGTCGTGCTTTGGGAGTCTGCTCATGCAACGGCTGATCTGCTTAACAAGCTGAGACCCTTTCTCCAGCTGATGACATTCTCCAAAACATGGAAATAAATGTATCGCCTAGACCAGGGGTTGGAAACCTGCGGTTTCGGAGCGGCATGCAACTCTTTATTAAGGACTGCATCGTGACGTTATTTATTAAAAACCACCATCTCGTATTCACATGCACTGAGGTTCATGAAATATTGAATTTTTTTAGGCCATGGCAATCCCATGGCCTAGACTGTACAATGTTGATGATGCTGATGATGACCTGACAAACACCGAGGATGGGATACGTTGGTTTGCAAGTTGATTTATTGGCCGTCTGATCTAATGCAGCCTCGCAATGCGTATTTAAAACATCGACACGACTTGTGTCACGAGATATGTGAAGAGCATTGTGGGAGTGCTCGTGGATGAAGTTGAGGATTATCTGTTTGGGCCACTGTGCCCAAATCGTAAGGGGAAAAACAGGTGACTCCCGTGATGATTGGCCACACCAAAAAAGAAAAGGGTGACCCCCGTGATGATTGGAAAAAACACCAAAAAAATTGGACGCTTTTTTGCCAGTATCAACTAATGAAAAATTTCGCCTTTTGCAATTCGCTGCTCTAACACTGGTTGAGACTAGGCCCAACAGAAGGCTGTCTCTTGTGTAGGCCAATCAGTTTCCAAGACAATGCCATCTATACTATCAGAGCATGTTTGTTTGCATGTTCACCACAAGAATGTGTGGGTAATCCGGACATGATTCCTTGCAAAAGGTTTCTGTTTGGTGTTTGAACATCTTAACACCTGTTTCATTGTCAGAATGGGTAACACCTATTCTTTTTTTACACAAGAAACATTTAGCATTCCGTAAACACCAATGCTCTGAGAGTCAAATAAACACATCAGCTTGTGAATTTATGAGAACCTTATTAGTTAATTAAGAGAAGAAAACATAGATTTTTTTAAGTTAACTTTATAATGACAATTACAATTTTGCGAGTCTCTATTTTATTTTATTTACAAGCACGTAACTAGACTTCCAAACATTTCTGGGCCACCGCCATGCATCGTCAGCCGTTATCATCAAGCTTCGCTTCGCCCTAAAGCGCTCACTTTTATGGCAGAGGAAAAAAAATCAGTACCTGAAGAAACTCCTGACAAGTGTGCGGAGAGAAGAAAAAAAAAGGAAGGCAAATTAATTTAGGAAGTCCTGACATGCGATCCAAATAACCCGCTCAACAATGACTGCCTCGCAACAGATCCGCCGTTTCTCACCACCCTCGAGACCAGCGTGGCCATCCGCAGAAGTCGCACCCAACGTCACAAACATCCGATATGAGCACAAGATTCCTTTTGTATATCGTTAAACGCTTTACCAGGTATGAGCTTAACTTCATTGCTCAAGTATACAATTGAGTTTTAGGTATTTTGGTAACCATTATCATCATCGGCTATGATCGATCCACTGCTAGATGAAGGCCTTCCTCCAAGCCATTGCCATCTCTCGGTCCTGCTAAGCAACAATCGACCGAGCACCTGTACACGATTTCATCATCGCTCCATCTCCGTGATGGGCGTAACCTTGGGCTCCATCTCTTCCTGAACCGCCACTCCGTCGTTAAACTCGACCACCCGCTTGACATTTAATGCGGTCCTCCACCAACCCACAACTGACCGGCGTGGTGAAGTATGGTCAAAGCACCTCCACGATCAACACGGCTTTCACCCAGCCGTAGACTTACAAAGCACCGAATGCTTAACGTTTTTAAATCAGTTGCTCAGGGACCTATCTGCCGAGTGAAGCCTCAAAGCATGCGAGTGTGTGCGCGCGTGTTTTCTCTGCGCGCTCCAGTTGCCCGTGGCACCGCTGTTCAAACCGTGCACAGTGACGCACGCATGGCACAGTGACGCACGCACGGCACCGTGAACAGCGCGCAGGCGAGCCACGGCACACGCGACAAAGCAGCTGCACGAGCAGCTGCCGGTGCGCCGACCGGTGTTTAGGAGAATGACACCAGAAGATGATTTCAAAGAACCACTTCTGAACGCACTTTGGCAGAACCTCCTGATAGAGAGGCACTGGGGGCATACTCTTTTAAAATGCCCTGCAATAAGTTTCCAGCACATGGCAATTAAACCGATTGTTTCAAAAGAGGTGTCCCAAGACGTGTTCAGGAGAGCCTGACTGAATGTGGAATATAGGGAAAAGCCAAATTTAATCACTTTTAGTTTGGTCTTCCGCACCCCGCCCATCCCACAATCACTGGTGGCGAGGTTGAGACAATGACACTCGCTCCGCTTGTTACATCACGGGTGGCTGGGGCAGCAGTGATCGAAGGGTTGTGCCGTCACTCACACGAACGCCATGAGCAGCAGCACGCGAGACAGCGGTGAACTCCCGGCGTCCCGCCTCTGCCGACTGTCGTCGTAGAGAACCCGGCAAGTGTTGGAGCCTGCGTGCGTGTGGGGCGGTATGGGGAGCAGGGGGCGGTAGTGCAACGATTAGCATGCTGGGCTACGAACCCGGCGACCCGAATTCGATTCTCACTCATGGCCACCACCACTGACGATTATCTCAACCGGTCCTGGGCCTCCCCTAGGTCGAATCAGCCTTAAATGAGTATCTGGTGCAATGTGTAAACATCGCGACTCGGGAGACAAAGGTGGCCTGGCGTGGTGTTGGCCACCCACCCCCCTCGTGTGCCATGCCGGCCGTCATAGGTGCTCGATAACATCCCTTTCCCCAACAGTCTGTTAAGGCTATATGGGGGATCTTTGTCTTTAGAGGTACGGGGGCCACAGAGACAGCATGCGGTCAGAGGCCAGGCTCGTCACACAAGAGTGGAGGGCTACGTGAGAGTTGCAGAGGTGTTCCAGGTCATACAGGTCAGCATTATAGACAGTACACAATTGAAGGTGAAACAGGAAGCTCTCCTGCTCACATAGTAGTCGATATTGAGACCGGCGTATGGGCGTTAGCACGCACAGAGACAGCACGCAACAGGCATCGGTTGCTATGCCCCAATTAATGTTTCGCGTTCTCATTCATGTCACCGAAACTAAGGTTTATGCTACATACGTAACAATGCAAATTGATGAGCTGATTACACTAGAGGACCTGGTTTCATCACGGATGGTTGAGACCTAGATTAAAACCCAGCTCCGATCTCTGAGCCACCTCAACATAACAAAACGTGAATCTACATCACAGCACCTATGATGAGTTAGACCCTCGGCACTCAAGGCCTAAACCAGACCCTCATAGCACGCTACACAGATGAAAGCTACTCATAGGTTGGATGCTTTAAATAGAATCATTCGAATGTAAACAAAAGTATACGAGATGATGGTGACCTCAATACACCAATACGGGAAAGAGTTCCAAATTATCTGGAGAGCTGATGTACAACAACTGTTATCCTGCAGAGGTGGGGTAGATTAACTGAATGCTGGATTGTTCAATAACGTCAGAAAATAAGGGGTCAGAACAAGAGGCAATGCCACTGAAATGGTTCAGGACATGTTTTACGAATGAATATGGAAAGGACACCACATCTAGCAATTCGTCGAGTACAATGAAAAATTAACAGAGGGAGATAATGAACGAGGTGGATCGATGCAATAAAGAATGACGCTGAAGCAAAGGGTGCTTTACTACAACGACGCTGGTACACAGATGGAGTGAGTTAATTCGGCTCTGTCGACCCGCTTGAGGTGACGGATGGGAATGTAATAATAATGATGAGACTATTTAAATTTTACCAGGTAAGGCCCACTGAGCTAAATAGCTCTTTTTCACAAGTACCCTGGCCACAAATGATAGCTCAATGAAGTGGCGTATCGTGTGAAAATACATAACAGCCAATTACTCTAAGCGCGTGTTGATTCTAAATGTGGAAGGAAAAACCGGAGGAACCGGAGAAAAATCCAAGCGACCACGGGGAGAGATACATGCCAACTACAAACACACAACAGGCGTCAGGGTCGGGATCGAACCCACAACCTCCTGTATGCCAGACGAGGCAGTTAACATCTCCTAGCCAATGCGGGGTGCTCCCCGCTCAGCTAAACCCTCGTACGTTTGCCGCACAGTGAACCGCGGCGGAACGAGAGAAACATTGTCGGTGGTCGGGCACCGGTGGAGGCGCGTGGCCCCGGCACGATGCGGCGAGGGTCCACGATGTCCTCGTCCGTCGGCGTGGTGACGGGCGACGCGGCCGATGCGGCCGCCACCCCGACACGGTGCAGCAGGCGCTTGCGCCGCCGCAGCCCCAGTGGTTTGTCCGTCTCGACGGCAAGCAGCAGCTTCTCCGCGCGGCCCACCTCCGACTCTGCCGAGAGATGAAATGGGGGGGGCGGGCCCAAATCAAAAACTAAACTATTTTTCGATTTAAAGCTTTCGTGACTGCAGGGATTCATCTTCTTGGTTCTTTCGGTAAAGTCTACGTGACTTTACCGAAAGAACCAAGAAGATAAACTATTTTTATTTGACCAGGTAAGGCCCACTGAGCTATATAACTCTTTTTCAGAAGCGACCTGGCCACAAATGATAGCTCAACGAAGTGGCTTATCACGTGGAAATTTATCGCAGTGAAATACTCTAAAAGCACGTTTCTAAATGTGGAGCGAAAAGATCCACGCGACCACGGGCAGAGAGACATGCACACTCCAAATATACAGCAGGCACCAGGGTTGGGATCGAACCCACGCACTCCTCTATGCGAGGCAAGGTAGTTAACATCTCCCCACTGTGGCGCCCCATGCGCACACGCATACTGCCGCTCTCTTGGATGAGGGTCACGCCGCGCCGAGCGGATCGTGCGAGTTTTGGGCCGGGGTGGTGGTGCAGTGGGGAGGTGGGGTGGTGGGGTGGTTGGGCCAGGGCGGTGGGTCGGTGGTGCGGTGGGGTGGTAGGGCCAGAGTGGTGGTGCAGTGGGGAGGTGGAGTGGTAGGGCCAGGGTGGTGGGGCGGTGGGGAGGTGGGGTGGTAGGGCCAGGGTGGTGGGCGGGGCAGGGTGGGGGTGGGTGGTGGGGCCAGGGTAGTGGGGTGGTGGGGCCAGGGTGGTGGGGCCAGGGTGGTGGGGCGGTGGGGTGGTGGGGCCAGGGTGGTGGGGCCAGGGTGGTGAGGCAGTGGGGCGGTGGGGTGGTGGGGTGGTTGGGCCAGGGCGGTGGGTCGGTGGTGCGGTGGGGTGGTAGGGCCAGAGTGGTGGGGTGGTGGGGCGGTGGGGTGGTAGGGCCAGGGCGGTGGTGCAGTGGGGAGGTGGGGTGGTAGGGCCAGGGTGGTGGGGCCAGGGTGGTGGGGCGGTAGGGTGGTGGGGCCAAGGTGGTGGGGCCAGGGTGGTGAGGCAGTGGGGCGGTGGGGTGGTGGGGTGGTTGGGCCAGGGTGGTGGGGTGGTGGGGCCAGGGTGGTGGGGCCAGGGTGGTGGGGCAGTGGGGCGGTGGGGTGGTGGGGTGGTTGGGCCAGGGTGGTGGGGCGGTGGGGCGGGCGGGTAATTGGGCCGGGGTGGTGGGGGGGTGGGTTGGTGGGGTGGTTGGGCCAGGATGGTGGGGCGGTATGTACCGAGATGCCGGAAATAATCGTCGATGCCATTCCATGTGTTCCTTTCGATGAAGGTCTTCACAAGACCCCAGGGTTGCTTCCGGTAGCGAATCTCTGAAGATACCCTGCAGTGAAAGATGCGCACAATGAGCAATCGGGAGAGATGAGAACACATCGGACCATGACTAAAGCACATGATGACCCACACGTGCAAAGCAAGTCCAACGATCTTCCACCTTCTTGCACGGGCACAGCCGAGCTGATTCGAGCCAACGCAGAGCCCTATTGATATGGGTGCTTTTCCACTGGCGATTTGCCGGGCTGAGCCAGAACCAAACTGTGATATAAAAAAAGTGTAGTTTGGATAAGAGGCAATAGCAGGTACCTCAGAAGCAATTCCGTGATATTTCTCTTCCTGAGGCCATTCTTGAACAATGACACGAGTGATTTTATACTACTTCGTGTAAGAGTTTCACACTGAAATATCTTCCTTTTCATGACATTAAAATGATGAAACGCAAATGGAATTGAATTGAAATAAAACACAAGCACATAACGAGGCAAGGGTACTTTTGCCAATGCTGCACATGTTGTGATTATTAAATAGACTAACGTTCTCCTGGCATGGTAAACTGAAGAAAAAAACCTCAAATGATATGGACACGAATGATCAAATGCACCATAAATGACTTCCAGCACAAGCAATGGCCACCACGGTAGAGGGGGAAACGGAGGTCAAGGAAGACCGAGATAATGAAGACGGATCAAGGACGTGAGCGACAGAACGCAGAGAAACACCATGGGCTGCAAAACCAACAACACCTACTTGGCAGAAATAATAACCATCGAACAAAGACGGTTGTCACCGCATCGCGCGCTTTCAGATGCGGCTTCTGCGGCCGTCTGGAACGCTCTTCCTTCCAAAATTCGGAAGCCACTGGGAGCTGTGCACTTTTAAGTCAACTAGATTGAAAACTAATTTCTTTCGAACTGTTTTTTGTGTTCAGTATGTTGCCCTTCCAATGCACCTCCGATTAGCATGGTTGGCTACGTACGGTTGGAAAGTTCAACATGCATAGAGTTGAACTTAAAAAAGTACTTTCAGAGAGCCATTGCCAACAAACCATGCACCCAGCAGCTTCTGTAGGTTAGACAGGGATGAGACATGGCCCGAGGCGAATCTAGAAACTTCCCAAAGAGGTGGGAGGAACGGTCCCAAAATATCAAGCTTTTAAAATTGGGCTGTCCACTCCAACAACAAAACATTCCACGTACTGCCCCAGTGAATACAATTAAATACCAAGATTCGGTGTCTCAAGGGGGGGAGAGGTGGTGGGAGATTGCATCTTGCCCCCCCCCTCACTCTTTCGAATCGTCCACTAGAAGTGGCGGGCCTGTACCGCACAGCGACCATCAACCTGGAGGCTTCGATCATCGGAGCTGGGGCAGTTTCGGAAGTCGAAGAGGAGAAGGTGGAAACGCGACCCTAGGACCGCGACCGATGTCAGAAGGTCGCTCACCGAAGTCGGCACTTGTGTTTGGTGATGCGCAGGATGCAGTAGCGGTGGGCCGTGTGGAAGTAATCCTGGTAGGGGATGTCGTGCGTGAAGATCTCGGCGTCGACCACGTAGCACTCGCCCTCCCGGCTGTTCTTGTACAGAGTCTGTGTGCGTACGTACGCGCGCGCGCGGTTAGCGCACTGCGCTGCGAATCCGGCGACCCGAGTTCGGTTTCCGCTCACGGCCAATACCAGTGACGATAATCTGAATAGATCCTGGGCCTCCCCTAGGTCGACTCAGCCTCAAATGAGTACCTGGTGGGGTGTGCAAACATCGCCACTGTCGGCCTTCATAGGTGCTCGCTAACAGCACTTGCCCCCAACAATCTCTTAAGGCTATCAGGGTGATCTTTGGCTTTGTGGCCACACAGACAAAAGTGGGGACATAGAGACATTAGTGATTGATGTCAGAGGAAGACCCAAAGACTTCCCAGGTGGGGTGGGTGGGGGGCGTGCAAGTCGGTCTCGAAATGTCAAGCTTTTCAAATAATCCATCGGCCTATTGCCTTTCCAGACCGGTATTATAGAGCAGCGTGTCTAATTAAGCAAACAGACACAGATCTGAGTTTGTCTTCACAGGTTGATTCCTGTAAACCCATGGCAAATATTTTAGAAGCCGGATCAGGTGACACAGTTAATCTGACTTCCTGGGTTTTGATCTGAAGATACTTGACACAGTTCCATGTGAAACGTTGTTTCTGATTGTTCAATTTGGTTGTGACAATTGTTCAACTTACCGGTGAGCTGGAACAACCATAATAGGTTTGGTAAACGCTTGCACACGTGACAATTTATGTTGGCCAGTGGAAGTGGTTTCAAAACAACAAAATCTGACCAGACCGTGAACTAAACTAAACCTATAAACTATTTTTCTTTTACCAGGTAAGGCCTACTGACTTGGCCACAAATGATTGCTCAATGAAGTTGCTTATTGCGTGGAAATGCATAACAGCCAAATACACATCTTGATTATAAATGTGGAGGGAAAAACCGGAGGATCCGGAAAAAAATGCACACGACCACGGGGAGACACGCAAACTCCAAATATACAAGTGTCAGGGTCGCGATCGAACCCACGACTTCCTGCATAGCGGGCGAGGTGGTTAACGTCTCGCCACCGTGGTGCCCATTTACGTGGCCAAACCCAAACATTTATTACGGAAAACAATACCGGCTGCAGCAACCTCCTACATGTGTTAAGTTGTGTAGGTTTGTTGTTGTTTTGCCCGCTGCTGCCAAACCTGTGTTTCCGTTCCGTTGGCCGACTTTGGCGCGAGCGGGTTGGACATCGCCACGCCGTAGGTGAGCACTCGCGTCATGTGACCCGTGGCCTCTTTCCTCCACGGCTGCACGCAGAAATCTGAGCACGCACACGTGGACGTGCGTGCCAGTCAGCGCGGTCGCCGTGGCGGGCGCAACTCAACGCAATGCACGACAGAAATGTGTCATTTCATTGAGGGGCCGTGTGTTTGTCTTTGGCGTGGTTCAGGACTGGTTTAAGTTGTTATTCTGCTGCCTTGCCCCAAGCTTGCATATGTTCTTCTTGGTTCTTTCGGTAAAGTCACGTAGAAGGGAAATAATAAAATAATAAAAATAAAACATAATAAAATAATTCTCATGACGTTTCGGCCACAACGCAAGCAGCCGTCCTCAGGTGAAGAACAGGTCTGTCGGAAAGACAGCGTCTGAAGACGCTGTCTTTCCGACAGACCTGTTCTTCACTGTCTTTCTGACAGACCTGTTCTTCACCTGAGGACGGCTGCTTGCGTTGTGGCGAGAATTATTTTATTATGTTTTATTTTTATTATTTTATTATTTCCCTTCTACGTGACTTTACCGAAAGAACCAAGAAGATGAATCCCTGCAGTCACGAAAGCTTTAAATTGAAACTTGCATATATGTTGTTGGGAAATTGGCAGAAAATTCAAGTACAATATGTAGTTGTTATGTACATTAATATTTCTATATTTATTCATAGTGGCTTTCTTACCTTCTCTATTTTGCACTCCTATATTTTTTTAATTTGTTTGTTGCTGTAACTTGCTGACCCGCGAAATACTGGGCATCTGTGAAAATGAGATTCGTAGCTCATCGGATTCCTCACGTGTAAATAAAGATTCTGATTTTGAATCTGAACTGCAGAAATGCCACGGTATTTACACACAGCCCTGAAAGTAAGCAAATTTTATTCAAGTGGTAATCATGCATTAATTATTCACAGTATGCCGGACATCTGCCATCAGCGAAAATTGCTCTCCCCTAATTTAGTCCGGATTCAAGAGATTTTACCGTACAAATGAGAAAATATGAAAAGCAAATGGCTGGCTTTTTTACTGTGATATATACACGTTTATTATTATTATTATCTGTTACACTTGTTCACCCAGGAAAGCCTCACCGAGTTTCACTACTCGTTTTGTAGGAGACGCCTGCCAAGTTTTCACAGTAGGGGGCGATGATTGCTAAGCGATATTTCAATCGATTAATTTGCGGTGCAATTTTCCAAATTTGACAATATTTGGACCGCGATGCCGTCGGCACATACAATGGCCTGCTCTTGAATGACGTCACGGAGCCATCAACCGTGCAAACGGAAAGGCTTAAGTACAAACAAGTTGCACCTATAAACCTGTTAAACATTTATTTGCAGTCACTCGCAAAATCTTTTTAAAGAAACAAGCCGTATCTTTTTCGTGTTGCATATTCCATGAACGGAGTACGGAACGCAGAGACACGCGGCGCTGCTCACGCGACTTCAAGGCACGGAGGTCACGCTCCCCTTTCCGTGGTCGAGTAGGTACCGGAGGCTAACAACGATAACCCTTGCGCACAACCAGCGCTTGGGCAATCACCGGTGGGGGGGGGCCGGGGTAGGTGGGGGTCGGGGGGGCCTCACCCAGCAGCTTGCGAGACTCTGCAAAGTTGCGGCCAAACTCGGGGTCGTGAAAGAGCAGGTCGAAGAGCTTGTCGGCGCCCAGGTGGAAGACGGCGTTCACGACGACGCGGCCCGACAAGTCGCCCATGCCGCAGTCCACCTCGCACGGCGCTGCACGCACGCACGCACGCACGCACGCATTCCACGGCACGCGTCGACAATCGCGCCGCCATGCAGGCGCACGTAAGTAAATAATAAATGAAGCGGTAACGTGTCGCCCCTCTTGTCAAGCCGCCCCTGGAGGAGAGGGCCTTGCTCATGTCGTGCGGGTCGTGGGGGTTATTTGGGCATAGCCTCGTCCAGCAGTGGAACGACAAATGGACTGTACGTGTGCACATGTGCTTGTGCAAACGGTACGACAATGTACGCGTCTACGAAGGGAGTGAACAAAAGTGCATGAGACGAGACAGAAATAATACAAGCCACACACGAAGAATTCGTCGAAAAGTCACGCACGACCATGCGTTTTAAGATGGTTTCCAAAATGTGCTCTGTCCTCGAAAGCCTTTCGTTACAAATGATGACCGCTGCGTTTCAAGCTGCACAGTGAGATGACATCACATATAGCGCCCGATGTGTGTGACGTCGCGAGATGATGTCACACACGTAACGACGCCATCGCCTTGGCTGCCAAGAAAAATCCTCTTCGCTAGATTTTTTATCGCCAAGATTAGGGAAACCCTTTGACAAAACTGGCCAGTTTTCTTGAAGCTATATCGCTAACAGCAACAAAGCGCATTAACGCTTTCAACCTCCGTTGAATCCACTCGTCAATCACATTGTGACCGCTCCCTGACTGTGATGAGCTTCATCGTATGGGCTTGCAGATTACAGCGCTGGGTGAGCGGTTGTGAGGCGAGAGCGCTCGCGCTCCACACGCGTGAGCAAAGACGAACTCACCGTCAGAGGTCGCAACCGGGTACCCGATACCCGGCTAACCGTACCCGGCCGGGTACGGTTAGCCGTTTGCGACCCTGGTGCGGCCGGGTACGGGTACGGGTAAAGAATCAAAACCCGTTTGCGACCTCTGCTCACCGTGCTCGTCGGACGTCTCCGAGGAGTCGCTGAGCTCCGTGGGGATGCCCTCGTTGGTGTTCATGTCGAGCGACGGCGGCGACGGCGTCTGCGGCATCGGCATGTCGCCGCCGCCCAAACCCCGCTCCGAATGCCCGTCGCCCGAGCCCAGGTCGTCCCCGTCCCCGTTCGCGAGGGTGTCGAACTGTAGAGGGGGTAAAGCGACATGCAGGGGCAAGGCAGGGGCAGGGTCAGAACAGCATTAAAATGGGGTCAGGATAAGATCAAAGTGGTGCAAGGTCAGGATAGGGTCGGGACGTGATCAGGACAGGGTCAGAGCAGCGAGGCAGGGCAGCAGGGCAGGGTACAGGCTATTACTACTTTTGGTATTCGCGCCATTCTTATAGTGCAAGGCTATCACAATAGGTGCCATGTTTAACAGACAGTCTGCAGTGATTTTGCAGTATGGGGCAACGTTGCTGTGTTTTCTCAACTTTGTTAGGTAAATTCTACATTGTGGCTCATATGGACCACGACGCAGGCAGACATCGCCTGTACATGTGCACATGCGCTTGTGCCCACTGTGAAGCAGGCAGCGAGTAGTGATTACGGTTACCACCCCCGCGGCGTTAACCCAGGTGGCTGTAAGGGTTCGAACCGCTGTAACGAGCGGGAGTCACGTCACCAGCTCGGACCGTGACACTGATCCGGGTGGGAGTGTGGGGCAAGGCGCGGAGCGCGGTGACTCACGGAGTTGTACTTGTGGTAGAGCCGGGGGCTGGGGTTGGAGCGAGAGTCGTTGGTGGCTTTTGAGGAATCGTTGAGGTCCGGGTCCTCCCCAACCAGTTCCTCCACGAAGCTGCAATGCAAGCGAGAATCACGTTGAACACGGCCAAAGCACACATCACCGCTACACCCTGTCCAGCACTACCAATGCGACGATAAATAAAGTTCATAAGACCTCCGATATATATATAGAGTATGTGCTTAAAATAATTGACAATGTTACCAAATGTTTCGGCTGTGTATCATACGACTGTTACAAACGCCACCAAAAATGTAAATAATGAGGAAGTAAGATGTGCAGCCCTGAACTTGTCTTGCTCCCGCCAGAAGAGCTTCTACCACAAGAGAGGGTTCGAGAGCAGTGTTCTTCACTTATTTTCACAAGGGGGGGGGGGCACTTTTGCCAATGAGACATCAGTGTGGGGGCTGCCACACCGCCTGCTCAGGCTGTTTTCACATATTCTTAGGTTTTTTCGGTAAAGTCACGTAGGTAAAAAAATTCAATTAATAAAAATAAAATCTAATTCTAGAAGTAAATCTAGAATTAATACCCTCTACGGGGAGGAATTTCACCTATCTGTTAGAGTTTTTAACAGACAACGAGACAAGAAGTCACAGCTTCTCGAGACGCTGGCCTTCCTCAAGAGATGCCGCAATAACAAGGTAATACCCATCGCTTTCTTGGAATTTCTCTTACTTGATACAGCAATCGTGCTGTGACGATTACACCTGAAGACGGAAGCTTGTGTTGCCTCCGAAACGTCGTGATTTATATTTTATTTTACTTTTATTAATTTTAATTTTATTTTTTTACCTACGTGACTTTACCAAAAAAACCTAAGAATATGAATCCTTGCAGTCACGAAAGCTTCAAATATACTGTTTTCACATGTTGTGTATTGTCGGGGGCCAAAAGTCAGGGGCCGCGCTAAAGACCACCAGGGGCCGGTCAGTGGCCCATGAGCCTTGCAATGAAGAACACTGTCCTCGAGAGCTCCTCTACAGGGCATTTGGCCTACTCGCCCAAGCTGGCCATACGTCTTGGAAGAGGTGGAAGTACCCACACTTTACCCCACTACATGCCACCTACCCATCGACTAACTTTGGTGAACCCATTTATGCTGCCGGGCGGACAGAGGCCAGGGGATTTAAGAAACCTGCCATCTCTTCAAACTGTCATGCAAGTTAATTAAACCGGCAACCTCCGCTAACCATTTACACCCTAAAGCAAACAAGTACAATTATAAAAATGCAAGATGAAAAATTGCAATCACATCAATCAAAAAAATCAACACAGAAAAACATAATTTCAGTTAATAGATAAGAAGTATAATATTGTTAGTCACATTATTCTCGGAAACCCTCTTAATTAATTACATTTAAAATGGCCGTGCTTATACTTTAAGCAAGTTTAGCATTTATTTTGTTTACATTTCCATCACGCATTAACTCGCGGTCTGTAGTGAATTTGCATGGAGTGTAAAACTTACTGAGTTCTCGGCCTCACGAAGAACCCTACCCCAAACCTGCACCCTACGGCACCACCTCGCTCGCCCCTGCCCCCCTGATGCCCCTACACGCAGAGTCGCCCTAACGATAGTGGCACAGCATGCGGTGGCTGGCAGGGGCGTCCGACGGCACGGAGCGACCGCCCGGCGTCCGACAGTGAACTCAGGCGGAGCCTGCAAAGGGGCCTGGCGGGAACGGGGATGGAGTACCTGCACAGTCTCCTGTGAAACACACGAAGGAAAACTTTCAAAACGCTGCCCCCTTTTTTCCACAACGTGACAGAGCTGTTTCGCCCCCCCTTCCCCCCCCCCCCCAAAATCCAGAGTGGCAAAAAGGTCGGGGGGAGGGGGCGGGGGAAAGGGTGGGAGTTGTGAGCGGAAGCCAGCCAAAGAGGAGGATTTGAGTTGGTGAATGCTCAGATAATGCCACCGATGGGTTTTCAGGCCAGCGTGCGCGAGCCGTTTTCCAGTGACGCAGGGAAAGAGACGGGGGAGGGGGGGGGGTTGTGAACCTGGCCGTAAAGCCTGCAACCACGTAGCGGGCGTCGCCGCATCGGCTAAATACAAGAGGCGAAGGCAACAACAGGCCGCCTCTCCGTTGTCTACCAATCGGCAGATGTGCTTCATTCAATTTACAGGTGAATGGAAAAAATGATTAGCGGAGCTGATAGCGTGTCCACACGGGCCGATTTGAAGGGTCTCGATGGAGTCTACAGCACCAGCAAATCACCCACAAGTCGGGGTCGCATGAAGGCCTCACATTTTAGACTAATTAGGCCATTCCAATTAAAAACGTGGGCCGACTAATCACGTATCAAATGTAAGTGGGACGAATAAACACTAACCACAAAAGTTGGTGTTGCTCATTATCTACGCTCTAATTGATAAAGTGTAAGGCTTCTTACAGAGCCAAAGGCCATGCACGGTTGTACGAGTCTACGTGCACTTGAATCGAGGCCAACTGTACAACCTATCGCTCATCAAGATTCTCAAGTCATTTAGATTCATCGAGCATTCAGGTAAATGTATGGGCTCTGGAAATATCAAGCGTTGGGAGAGTCCCAATCATCACTGAAACATCGGATTTGATTAGAATAATACTCTGAGAGAGGGCGATAGCCACCGCCATTCCAAGGACATCACAACATGGTGAAGATCTATAAATGAATCATCTCTGCATTGTGCTGGAGGGACGGGGAGGTGACAAACCTGAATTGTTCTTTCCCTGTGTCACTGTGACCGCCTCGCATTGGTGTTGAGCATCAATTAATGCCACGGTGTCAGGGTTAACTCTGGGTTAGCATGGGTATAGAGCCCAGACATGACCGACGACTCCAAGCAATCAGGGGCTCTAAACACAGCACGGCTTTTCCACGTCGGCCAATCAAAATCGTATTCGTGAACAAAATCAACACGTGTACTTTATTTCACGGAAGGAGGCCTTGAGCACAATGTGAATGAACAGTACGCAAATTAAGTAATTGGAGAGGTGTGGAAGCAGAGACGCACAATGACTTTTGCCTGGAAAACCTCGCAGACACGTTGTGCTCTGGTTCGGGTCTCCATTGCAAAAGTCACTGCGTCTGAACGAGCTCCCGCCTGCTTATAATGCAGCGATTTCATTCATGTATTTATATACATACACTGCAAGAGGGAAATCCAATGCACTACTTGTTAAAGGCGGGTGTGCGTAATTAAAAATTTGTAAAAATAGCAATTGTAAAAAAAAGACGTCGCATTACAGGGAAAGGCAAAGTAAACCTTCTTCTTGGTTCTTTCGGTAAAGTCACGTAGAAGGGAAATAATAAAATAATAAAAATAAAACATAATAAAATAATTCTCACGACGTTTCGACCGCAACGCAAGCAGCCGTCCTCAGGTGAAAACCAAGACGCTGTCGCCTCGACAGACCTGGCTTTCACCTGAGGATGGCTGCTTGCGTTGTGGCCGAAACGTCGTGAGAATTATTTTATTATGTTTTATTTTTATTATTTTATTACTTCCCTTCTACGTGACTTTACCGAAAAAACCAAGAAGATGAATCCCTGCAGTCACGAAAGCTTTAAATCGAAAAGTAAACCTTGCCTAGCGATTGCTGTTACAGAAAATAAAATAGTCCACTTCCATTCTGCACGATGTTTCGGGAGGACAAAATAAATGTAAACAATATTTGGATGTTTAAACCAAACTCACAAATGGCCATTCCAGGAAATAAAGTACATCAAACAGATACGTGCACTACATTCACCAGCTGACTGGCAAACCACAAATAGGGCCTCTGAACTGAGTTTGAACCCTGATATTTGGAGTTGTGCATTGTTGGAAGGCAGGTGCTATGGTCAGCATTATTGCCGAATGTTGACTTTAACAAAGCAAAACACAACGATGATATTATCCCATCCGCATGTGCATTGCTTTCACTCGGTTCCCAAGGGTCGGATTGGCCCATTCAAATAATGACGGCTTTGGGGAACTTTGCCCCCCCCCCCACCCCTCCCCCCAATATTTAATGAGAGGCTTGTATAGGTACATCACACTCGTGCTCGCCAAATGTGTTTGGTGTTTGCGGGAAGAGCGGCGCGTGTGCGGGGAAGGAGGGAGGCTTGTCGTCTGGTCTGGGCAAACTGAACACGATGCACCTGGGACTTGTCCCAAAGTGCTGAGCTGCGCATGCGACAGACCGGCCGATTTTTCACGACTATGTCGCCTAGGCAACTCCGTGGGCCTACGTCAAAGGAGATACGGGCGGCCGTTGGAGAAAGCACGCTCCGTTGACCAGCATAAATAAACATCTCTCATTCACGATGGGACGGCCTTTTCCGGGTTATTTGAGGGCTACGCTAAGACTCTTAAAATCGACCGTGCACCCATGTCAGTGAATTCGTGCGAGCTGTACAAAAGTCGTTTTTCAACGTTGCCCCCCCCCCCTCTCCATTGTAAACGGTCATTGGCTTTGAGTTATGGTTCAGAGAAGAGCTTGCCTGGAGGAAAAGCAAATGACATGGGTAGAGCCAGGGAAGGTGTTGCTTTCAGCTAGGTGTAATTATTTACTGAAGATGAACCAATTTTTACTCTTCTGGAGATGTTTACGGAGATAATATTACGACTGCCGGATAGAAATTGACTGAACCGCCATCATCCACGTGGCAGTACCAGCAGGTGAGGCTCAGCGTTTTGCATGGGATTTAGTGGAGCACTTATTTTAGTACAGCAATCTTCCTACAGCTCTCAACGCAAGGCACTTTCAACGTTCGTGAGCTTAAACCAAAATCCTCAGTAAGACAATTCAAAGTCGGTACTCTCCATTAGTTACCAAGAAACAGGTATAATGCAGATTATTTAATAATAATTGAGAGAATGTTAAAAACATTTTTACGAATCATTGACACGTTTGTACACCACGAAGCATATCAGCCAATTCGGACCCACCGTGGATATTGCACAAGGCACCTTTGCAGGTCAATACAAACTCTCAAGGCCAAATATTAAGGAGACCAGACAGTGCAAAGCTGGAACCTTTAGCTATTATGGGTGTGCATGCCAAATGTAGCCATGGGTGTGCATGCCGTGCGATAAGGGGGATTGACACCCCAAGCTGACAATGAAGCCCATCCATTCTTGTTCCAGAATACTGTCCGACCCAAAAAAAGTTCACAGATGTCGAGAGCAACAACAACCTTTGTGAAATCCCCAATATGGAGTTAGGGAGGACTTTGGGAACGGCATGGTTTGAATGTCAAGTTAGGCTGCTTCCGAGCATGTGACAATTCTTCCTATTAAAATCGACTGCTTTACGCTCAAGATATGAGCATAAGAATCATGCACAGAAAAGATTAATTTCTTAGTTTCAAATTAGAGACGGCAAAGGCGAGGCTCGAAGAAGAATCGATTCCTGTAAATGTTGTCGGTTTACCCTCTGGTGTGCTGAACTAGCAACGAATTGGCATGTTGTATTAACGTGACAAACCTTACTAATTGGCTGTGTTGGGTGGTGGTGAGTTTAACGACACATTTATATTTACGCGCTCTAACCCTCTATTATGGATAATATTGGTCGCGAAAAGCCTACGTGTTAAATCGATTCTTGACTCGAATCAGGACGATTAAATCAGACCAGCGAGGCGCTGTTGGGGCGGATGGCTGGGGAATGCAGCAAGGAAAGTGGAAAGGCCGGGCGAAAAGAAGCGTGCATAGGAAAGGTGGAGGCAGGCGGGACCGGGAGTGGGGGGGGGGAATGGCGGGCGACGAGGCGAGGGGGCCACTCACCCCATGGTGGCGATGTCATCATCCGGAGGCACGTAGTCCTCGTCCTCGCTCGTTAGGCCCAGCTCGTTGCCGTAGCACTGGTGCACAAACTGCCACAGCTCCTTCGGGCAAAGCGGCTGTCACAGGAAATGGATCAGACGGTATAATGTGGTTAGTCACGTTCCTCTCGAAAACCTTCTTGAGGAGCATAAAGCATCAAGCGAAGTCCAGTCATCCTCGCTGGCTTTTGGCTAGCCATCGGGCAAAGACGGTCGCTGCATCGTGCGTGTTCAGATGCGCTTCTGCGGCCGTCTGGAACGCTCTTCTTTCTGATATTAGAAAGCCACTGGAGCTAGGCACTCTGAAATCTAAACTGAAAATGAATTTCTTTAAAACAGTTTTTTGTGCTTAGTTTCTTGTCCTTCCCCCGCACCTCCCATTAGCAGCACTACTGTCTATGTATGGTGCGAAAGAAGTTCAACACACATACATTATTAATTCCATTTAACATGGCCGTGCTTACATTTGAAGCAGGCTTAGCATTTGTTTTGTTTACATTGCATTCACTCGCAGTGTGCAATGAATTTGTATTGAGTGTAAAACTTACTGAGTCTCGGCCTCACGAAGAACCATGGACTGACACTAATCCGCTAACCCCCTTGTCCTAACAGTGCAACAAACCGACCACTTAACTCATGCCAGACTAATCCCAAACACCAACACTAAACCTTCTGACCCCAACACTAATCCTCAGTGTTCACCCATGACACCGACCCATGAGACTTATTTTGCAAGCTTTGAACCAGTGCTCATCCTGCTCACAGCCCTGACCCAGGTGGAAATTCTACATTCCCATGGCAGGGAGAAACTTGACTTCCCCACAAAGCAATACTCAATTAATCAACCTCAGAGGTATTGTGATGGGCTGAGTCAACCCCCAATAATAATTTCCACTCGATAACTTACATTTTACATCTTAACCACTTTGGAATAACGTACCACGCATGAAGTCGTTGCATTAGCTATGAGCACGAAGCCCCACATTTGGATCATTAATGAAGACAACGGCTAGAAGCACCTCTCTAACATTGCAATTTGACCTCTTCCAAACTGCCCCCTACACCAGGCCCAAAGCTTGATTTCAAGCTTTCGTGACTGCAGGAATCCATACTCTTTGGTTCTTTCGATAAAGTCACATAGGTAGACATAAAATATAATAAATCACAACGCTTCGATCGCAACACAAGCGGTCGTCATCAGGCCGCTTGTGTTGCGATCGATTTTATTTTATTTTATTTCTAACTACGTGACTCTACCGAAAGAACCAAAGAGTACAGGCCCAAAGCCTTCGATAGTTCGGGTTGCCCGGAGAGAGGGGGGGTGGGGTACCTTGTCCAGCAGAGCATTCTGCCACAGTCGAAACATCATCATGAAGGTACGGTCCCGTGCACCCAGTGATGTGAAAAAATGCTGCGTGAAAAGAATGCGCACATGCAGAGCAGTCACTCGACCGTCCATTAAATAGACATCACTTCCCTATTCTGTATCAACCACAAATAAATAACACCTTCCCAAAAGTGTCTCTTGTCATCATAAACAAAATTTCATATTTTTACTGGTAGGAACCTCCTGGTTCCACCAGCCCACAGGGGATTATTGTGTCCGTCCATCCGTCCGTCGTGCATCCAAAAATGGGAGGAGTGGGGCTGGGTGGAGAGGGGAAGGTGGGGAGGGGCTGGGTGGGGTGGGGCTGGGTGGGGAGGGGCTGGGTGGGGAGGGTGGGGAGAAGCTGGGTGGGGAGGGGAGAGGAGGGTGGGGAGGGGCTGGGTGAGGAGGGTGGGGCTGGGTGGGAGGGGTGGGATGGGTGGGGAGGGACTGGTCACCCCGTGGTGCCCTTATAAAACTCAACGGCCATATTTGCGGAATACACCACACCGCCGTTGACCCTGGCCATTGACCGAGCAACCCAACGTTCCTACCAGCTCCCTCCGCAGGAATGTGTTATTCCACCCACCGGCCGTACGGCTTTCTGGGAGTGTATCTTATCGGCAGCGTCGGTTCAACACAAGCAAATGCTGGGATGCTTTCGACATGCAATGTCCCATCAGCACAGTCACACTTGCTTGAGCCAATGCTAGCAAGCTGCCTGATATTTATTGGCAAAGGGCTTTTCTGTAAGAAATCGGTCCTAGTTTGACACAAAGCTATAAACGGCAATTACATAATAATTTTTTGTTATGTTGTACTTATCTCAGAATGGCTCACTTGTTTTTTTACGAATGCAGAGTGGTCGTGCACTAGGATAATAGTTTCAACTTGTAACGCACACAGTATTCACTCACTCTTGATCTGAGAGAGAACAACTCAAGTGGAGGTTTGTGGAAACACCCTTTCAAGTCCCATGCTTTGATCAAAAACAACGATCCACACAAAGCCACGTGATAGCCCCACTCAAGTTAGCATATCCCCATGCACATGGGAAAATTTACGGACAAAATAACATCTGAGATTACCCCGTTTTAATGGCATAATTTGATCGTGACCAGAACAGAAACTCTTCAGGGTGAGATATCTAACAACTAAACAAGTAAAGTGGACGGCGAAGGGCATGCCCAAGTACGGTCAAAAATCCCCCACAATCGACAGTGTGGTGAGGCCTTAATCCAGCAGTGGATTGCCAAAGGGGCTGCCCATTATTCTAACTTGTAAACAAGTTATGAGCTTGTCATACCGACTTGTAAACAAGCTGTGAGCTTGTCATACCTTGTCATTCTCGGTGCATATCTGGATGGCGTTGGGTATTAGCCTTGCTGTTTTCTCTTTCGTCATGGCTGTGATTTCCTTCAGGCGTATCGTCAGCTGTGCGCACAAACAACACAGGGCGCGAATACAAAACATGCTTAGATGGAGGTCAGCATCACCATCATCATCACGACGACCACGTCGGCTCACAACGCCGAGCAGCCGACGCGTCGTACGCAACCCGGCTCCATCTCACGCGGTCCCAAGCCTCGCTCTCACGCCGTCTAACCGACCGCGTCTTCTGCCTCCGCCTTCGTAAATCATCCGCTCAGCCGAGCGGCGCTTCTCGAATCCGGTCCTCGCGACCCCCCCCCACGGTAGGGCTTTGCTCTGCGATGACCAACTATCAGGCGTGTGCAGTGTGCCGTGGCTCAATTTGCATATGAAGATAAATGATCGGTATTCAATCCCATGGACAGCCAAAACCACCAATACACAAGTTCTGCAAGATATGGGCACTGACAGGCAACTGCTGAAGACCATCATTAGCAGGAAGTGTTACTACCTAGGCCACATTGCCCGAAACGACCACAAATACCAGCTATTAAAGCAAATCCTGGAAGGAAAAATCGAAGGGAAAAAACGACCAGGACGGCCAAAAACGACATGGCTCAGTAACATCAAAACATGGCTACAATTAACAACAGCACAAACTCTACACGCCGTGCTAGACCGGGACCAATATCATCGTGAAGTCGCACACGCCGTTAGGCAGCACTAAAGAAGAAGAATCAAGGGAAGGCAGACTGTGCAGGGTCGCAAAGACTTAAGTTGAGTAACACCGATGTAGACTACGGCTTCTTGCTGCTCACTCAAAAGTATTCAAGCTTCCTTTTGTCAAATGCCAATAATAAATTCCAGTCTCCACAAATCTCCACCCGCGTCCAGGCTATTGACCTTCCGTTCAGCAGACACCGAGTCACCGCAGCTGAATAAACGATCAATCCTTCTACGGTCACGTACAAGTCTGCGCCTGTCCAACTGACGCAACCAAAGCTAAAGGGCGCGCGTCGTGACACGTTGGCGATCGACACAGCCAGCGGCGAGCGGAGCACCCGGCTCAAGAGCGCAAAGAGTGCGGCACGTGCGCAACTCACCAGTGTCTCCCAGCGGAAGATGTTGCTGTAAAAGCAGATCCAGTTCTCAGAGAGGTAGAGGCGGCCTTGTAACAGGATGTCCCTCTGCAGTGCACAGGAGTAGTCTGTGCAAACAAACACAAAGGTGCTCAGCGGTAACGATCGGTGCGCAAAGTGCTGCTATCGAGCAGCGGTTTTAAGTAGAGACTGGCGCGGGGAAGCTTGGTGTGTGGCCAGCGGCACACCCGGCAGCCACCTCCGTGCGGTCTCTGGCTCAGCTGCAATTTACTTTCAGTAAGAGAGGGCTTGAAGTTCAAGTTGAATGCTGACCGACAGAGATGGCTCGCCGAGAGAGCACGGCACTGGCCGGCGTCCGCTGCTGTAAAACTCACCTACGATGAGACGCTCGGACTCGGGCAGCTGCTTGAAGAGTTTTCTGAAATCCTCGTTCCGCTGCTTGTACGTTGGACTTAACACCTGCTTTTGCACCGACCAAGAAAGCGATCGCAGTAAATATTGCAGAATGGACAGAAATCAAACAAATCGATCATCGTCGTCTCTCTTTAAAAGCCAGCTGAACACGCGCCGAGATTCATCGTTGCTTTTCTGAGAGATACTCCAAAACATCGCAAGTTATGTTCTCTCTTTGACCAGCTGAGCATGCACTGAGACTCATAATCGTTTTTTTCTGAGAAATACTTCAAACGCAGCAGTTATATAGCGATAGAGACAAGTATTTTTATTTGAGCGAAATAACGATAGAAGGCAATCAGGCTGATTTATGTCATTAGAGAAGTCTCCGAAGGGCGATTAACCTGCCAGCTAACCTCAGCTCGTTCACTTCTCATAAAATGCGCTCCACAAGCTGGCAACGTTGTTTATAATGTGTGTAAAATGCGGCCGACCTCGCAATCACTCGGGCTGTTGAATTTAATGAAAATGTTCAATTGGACAATTCTTTGCTCGGGAGGTAAGGTAATTGAAAATTGTTGGTCACGATACAAAGAGTGGCATCGTTTACATTAGATGAATACTGTATACGTTGAAAAAGAGACCAATTATAGTATTGTGCATTGGAAAAAAGAATAGTTACTTACATTGTACCAGCTCTGACTTTTCTGTAGAGGGGGAGGGATAATCGCGCATACACGTGAACGATAATCGGAGCTCGAATCCAGGCTATAAGCAAAGCACTGACAACCGCCGCTAACAAGCACTAAACCAGCTTCACAACCCATTACTTGTATTCACGAAGAGGCCATTGTCACTGGGAGACCCATACAGAGGACACGCACCATAAATAAATCACATTTTAAGTGGGATATGTGCAGCATTATTGATTTTTGTTATATTGAATAATAACGTAGGCTGTGCAGATGAAACCCGGCTGTACATTTCCAAGATATATTTGTAATGATGACAAATGTGAATGGTATTTAGGAGGGAAAAGATTGATCAGCAGCTTTTAGTAACTAGTAAATTGAACCCCTATGTTTTTTGTTTAAATATGAAAGTGACCAAAGCGGAGTTTTGGGAGATTTCCTTAAAATTCATGAATTAATTTTTTTCTTTTTCAATAAACTGCAAAAAAAATGTGGAAAAATTGTCACAAATTGACATTGATGTGAACCCAGTGATGTCACTACATGGAAAATTCAATCAGTCGCGCAAATCAAACTAAATTCCACCCTGCACGGAAAATAAAGATATGCCCTTGTACAAGACATTGCACTCACAACGTAAGTTTTAATACACCACAGATTATATCGTGCTGTACTTTACAGGAAATAACAAAAAACACCCAAAAAGCCAACCAAAGGTCAGAAATCGAAAAACATTTTGAGCGTGACCTTATTCTCCAACTTCTCGTGACAGCAGAGCCAGCCGAGAAGATAACTTGTGGAGGAGTGTACCACTTCTCAAGGGGGGTGTCAGATGTGTTTTAATTGACGTCCCATCTATGATCGACAAGCCCCACGGCTCGCTGGCGAGCATATTTTCAGAATCAGAATATTTTTTTTATACTGGAGCTCTTTTTCACAGAAGCCGACGGCAAACCCGTCGACTGGATCCGAGGTTAGTTCTCCCCTGGGAGAACTATGCAGCAGCATTAGGCGACACGGTGGATTACCTGCAGAGTGTGTAACTTGACACCCTTGCAGATGAGATGGTCCACCTCAAGGCTTCACCCAGGAACACTATTGCAATTAATTAGTTTAACACCTAAACATTTATGCTTCCTGCCTTGGATAACCTCCACTGACCAGTGGGGTTAAAGTATGGTCATAAATCACAATGTCTGCATGGTGTGGGGGAGGCCTTCATCCAGCATTGGATTGAAAAGAGGGATGTGCATGTACACTACAATATCATTAATCAAGGTATTACATTGTAACTTACTTACTCAACATTACTCAATTTCTTGGAAATAGCCAAATATCCCACGAGTCGGATGCTATAAGAGCGCTCTGTGCCAGCAACGCCGAAACCCTGGGTTCGCATAGGGGCAGCCAATTATATTCATTACGAGACCGGGTTGTTCAGCGGAACGAGTTGATGGTCACAAAATAAATGCGTCGAAGAGCTGCAACACCAAATTTTCTTTCACTTAATTCAGCGAATGCCATCCCTGAGCATTTGAATGTTTAGTGAGTTATTGCCATGCAACCAATGCTCTGTGCAGGGCATGGACACGTTTGTCCCAACGTTGAGTTAAGAGCCCACCGAAGCAACTTTGGAAGCAGCTCTGTGCTTTCATCTTCCACGGCTGTCCAATGACCGCAAGGCCACCCTGTAAGACTCTTCTTCTCACGACGTGAAACTAATGGCCCTGTAAAGTGAACACGTTTGAGTTCTGTGCAGCTGCCACGTCTCACAGGATGACCACTGGAAGCATTAGTTAGAAAAGGGCTACAATTTGAATGCCGCAAAAACTGCTGTTAGTCAGCGACGACAAGCACTGTGCGATTGACGTCGCATTCAAGTAAGCATATCAACGCAATTCATGTTTTTTTTCACCAGCAAGCAAGTGCTTAGAATAAACAATGCCGTGTCACCGAATGCTTTTAACCAGAAAAAAAGAGAGCATACATGCCTGAGCTTATTGTATTCACGTCAGTTTCTAAATGAACCAGATGCACCAATTGGATTAATCATACGCCACAATACCGCGCGCGGCCTTGCTCGTTCCTTTGCACGTGCGTAATATTTTCCGAGTATATTATTGTGAAAATGAATGCCAAGCGGATGGTCGCAACTGCATCTTGAAAACCTGGCTCCATTTATATTAAAAAACAAGAGGTGCCGAGCCCATTGTCGTCTTCGATTTGTTTTCACTTGGGAAGCTTGCACAGATGGCGAAGGACCAGCCAGAGCGCCGTACATGTGACCCTCCGCTCGCGGGAACAAAAACGAAGCCACGTTGGCAACTCAACTACGAGCCGCACTTTCACCGCGAGTGTTGAACGCTACTTGGGTGGAAGTGTACATTCCATCGGCCGAAACCAAACCCGTTTGAGTGCTCGGCTTCACTCCCAATTACCGCCCGCGCGTGCAGGCGAGCGTGCGGGTGAGAGTGCGGGTGAGTGTGTGGATGAGTGTGCGGGTGAGTGTGGGTGAGTGTGTGGGTGAGCGTGCGGGTTAGTGTGCGGGTGAGCGTGCGGGTGAGTGTGCGGGTGAGTGTGCGGGTGAGAGTGCGGGTTAGTGTGTGGGTGAATGTGCGGGTGAGTGTGTGGGTGAGCGTGCGGGTGAGCGTGCAGGTGAGTGTGCAGGTGAGTGTGCAGGTGAGTGTGCAGGTGAGTGTGCAGGTGAGTGTGCGGGTGAGTGTGCGGGTGAGCGTGCGGGTGAGCGTGCAGGTGAGCGTGCAGGTGAGTGTGCAGGTGAGTGTGCGGGTGAGGGTGCAGGTGAGTGTGCAGGTGAGTGTGCAGGTGAGTGTGCAGGTGAGTGTGTAGGTGAGTGTGCAGGTGAGTGTGCAGGTGAGTGTGCGGGTGAGCGTGCAGGTGAGCATGTAGGTGAGTGTGCAGGTGAGCGTGCAGGTGAGCGTGCAGGTGAGTGTGCAGGCGAGTGTGCAGGTGAGTGTGCAGGTGAGTGTGTGGGTGAGCGTGCAGGTGAGTGAGCGTGCGGGTGAGCGTGCGGGTGAGCGTGCAGGTGAGGGTGCGGGTGAGCATGCGGGTGAGCGTGCGGGTGAGCGTGCAGGTGAGGGTGCAGGTGAGCGTGTAGGTGAGCGTGCAGGTGAGTGTGCAGGTGAGGGTGCAGGTGAGGGTGCAGGTGAGTGTGCAGGTGAGTGTGCAGGTGAGTGTGCAGGTGAGTGTGCGGGTGAGCGTGCAGGTGAGCGTGTAGGTGAGTGTGCAGGTGAGCGTGCAGGTGAGCGTGCAGGCGAGTGTGCAGGTGAGTGTGTGGGTGAGCGTGCAAGTGAGTGAGCGTGCGGGTGAGCGTGCGGGTGAGCGTGCAGGTGAGGGTGCGGGTGAGCGTGCAGGTGAGCGTGCGGGTGAGCGTGCGGGTGAGTGTGCAGGTGAGGGTGCAGGTGAGCGTGTAGGTGAGCGTGCAGGTGAGTGTGCAGGTGAGGGTGCAGGTGAGGGTGCAGGTGAGCGTGCAGGTGAGCGTGCAGGTGAGTGTGCAGGCGAGTGTGCAGGTGAGTGTGCAGGTGAGCGTGCGGGTGAGCGTGCAGGTGAGCGTGCGGGTGAGCGTGCGGGTGAGCGTGCAGGTGAGCGTGCGGGTGAGCGTGCGGGTGGGCGTGCAGGTGAGCGTGCAGGTGAGCGTGCAGGTGAGCGTGCAGGTGAGCGTGCAGGTGAGTGTGTAGTTGAACGTGCGGGTGAGCGTGCGGGTGAGCGTGCGGGTGAGCGTGCGGGTGAGCGTGCGGGTGAGCGTGCAGGTGAGCGTGCAGGTGAGCGTGCGGGTGAGCGTGCGGGTGAGCGTGCAGGTGAGCGTGCAGGTGAGCGTGCAGGTGAGCGTGTAGGTGAGCGTGCAGGTGAGCGTGCGGGTGAGCGTGCGGGTGAGCGTGCGGGTGAGCGTGCAGGTGAGCATGCAGGCGAGCGTGCGGGCGAGCGTGCGGGTGAGCGTGCAGGCGAGCGTGCAGACAGCATGCGGGTGAGCGTGCGGGTGAGCGTACGGCTGAGCGTGCGGGTGAGCGTGCAGGTGAGCGTGCAGGTGAGCGTGCAGGTGAGCGTGCGGGTGAGCGTGCAGGTGAGCGTGCGGGTGAGCGTGCGGGTGAGTGTGCAGGTGAGCGTGCAGGCGAGCGTGCGGGTGAGTGTGCGGGTGAGTGTGCAGGCGAGCGTGCAGACGAGCATGCGGGTGAGCGTGCGGGTGAGCGTACGGGTGAGCGTGCAGACGAGCGTGCAGGCGAGCGTGCGGGTGAGTGTGCAGGTGAGCGCTGCTGTCGCTCACGGAGAAACCCGCTTCGGGTCACGTCACCAGGGCCTCAGAATCGGCGTAAAATATGGTGTTGGCGATGACCAGCGAAAGGACCCGCCAGGTCACTTTTGTCCCCCGCATTGGCACTTCTGAACGGCCATGGCAACATACGCAAAAAACCTCAACCCCGCGAGGATCGGACAAGGACAAGAGCCTTCCAAGCGAGCGTCGCAGAAGCCAAAAATGCCACTGCTGCCGTGAATTTCCATGACCCCCCCAGCGTTGGCGTGCAATTTATTTTCTTTCCCAGCGTGAATCTAATTCCTTTACGTCTTTGCGAAGCTATTAAAAGGAAACTAGCCAACAAATGTGAGCATGCTCCTTATGCGTCATCACTCCTTGTGACAATAACCGGACAGCACTTACATAAATAAACACGAATCACAAGCTGCTGGGGGTGCCTATGTGCTGCCCTAGCAGGAGGTTTTGCTGGCGGCACCCACCAAACAACATAGCAGGAGGCTGTTTCTTCCTGACCTGCTTTTGTGCTTTTACCATCTACATGGCAGAGGCTCGGTCTCATTTGCAGCATTTTGTTATGTAGGCTAGACGTAGTCACAAACCGCACCTCTCCATAATAAAGGCTCAGTCATTTGTTATGTAATCTAGCCGTAGTCTCAAGCCGCACCTTACCATAATAATAAAAAGTGGGCCGTTCCTGGCCTTTCCCCCCCCCCCCCCTCAACCATTATATATACAGAGTGGTATC